CTATAGATTGTTTTGAGTAATATTTACATCTCAACAATATTAAATCTTCCAACCCAAGAAAACAGAACTTCTCACTCGTTTTTCTTTACATGCTCTGTGGTGGCACAGTGGGTTGTGTGTTGGACTGGTAAACAAAGCCAACGGTTCAAAAGCACCAAACCGGTCCATGGGACTAACCAGTGCTTTGTTCTGTTGTGCTGAAGGTCACGGAGTCTGAACCAACTGAACACCACCGAACAACAGGACAGACCATCAGTGGGGCTCTGTGGGAAGGAGAGCCTCTGTGTGTCTGGGTCACTGCACGAGCTACAAGGATGATCACTTGTACAATATATTGGGGAATGAAAAATGTGGATAGGTCATGTAGTGTGAATTTGTTCCTACCATATCCACATTCCAAAGTGGTGGTTGTTGATCTGCCTGTAGGGTAGGTGGTAACACCTAACTGTTGTCTCAGCAGGTTTCCCAGAAAATGCAAGGGGGGCCTTGAAGGTGAGATGACAGAGACAGACCAAGGACTCGATGTGGGCGGGCTTGGTTGCTGTGAAGCTGGACTCTACTTCTGGAGGCCCATGTCGAAGACAAACTGGACCCAATTCTACTGTGTCCTTATTTGTGAGGACAAGAGAATATAAATAACCTTGTTTTTGCCCAATGGTCAAAGTTGACAGACACATGTCTAAGATAATTATAGCTTGTCTGACAGAAGTAGGGGATGGGGAGAAGAGATTGAAGTGGGGGAAAAACAAACAAACCAAAGCATAATGAACAGGAAAGAGAATCAGGAGTGGACGCCTGCTGGTCACAGAAAACGAACCATGGAATTTACCTCGGGTCGTCGCCACCCTGTGTAACAGCATAGAGCTGTGTGCTCCAGTTTTGTCAGTGGCTACTATTTCAGAAGTCTTTCTTCCTAGAGTCCTGTGAATGGACTCAAACCTCCAATCTTTTAGTTAGCAATATTTGATGTTCATGGATAGGAAAGTTTAATTACTGTGAAACTACCAATACTATGCAATGCAACCTATAAATCCAATACGGATCCAAATCCCATCGTTAGGTGTACTCTGATAGCCCTTAAAATAACATCCTTACTCTTCAGCACTTTAAAGAGGTTTTGTCCAATGCATCATCGGGTGCGATTCCCACACTGTGTCTGTGGTGTTGTCCCCTATAGGGCTATGGGTCAGTGAGGGGCACCATGTCTCATAGTGGGGCCGCTACATGTGTTTTTTTTAACCAAAATTTGGTTGTTCTTCAATTTCCTTGTGCACGTAAAGGAGTTATTAGTACACAATGCATCTATATGGTTACGATGAGAATTAAATGACTACATATAAGGCACACAGAAGAGTGCCAGAAACATTAAAATTACTAAAATCTTTATTACTATTACCGCTACAATTAATTCTTGAGTTTTACATAAATCAGTCACCGATTTATGAGCAGGTAAATGAGTGATTCTAATTTGCACTGCTAGGCTTATCCTCTTGAAATTTACTGTGATAAGCAGAAGTAGCAGTGGAGAGACAAAAATTTTTTCTAGTGTTAGCTCTGTCCAATTCTATAAACCCACTGATTAGGCATTGGCAGGACATTCTCATTCATTCATCTCTTTATGGGAAAGTATGGAGCAGAACACACTGCCTTGAGAAGCAGCAGCCACTCTTGGTTTATTATCTTCCAAAATGCTCCGCTTCAATTTTTCATACTTACTGGTTTTGTCTTACATAAACTTATCAGTCATATTAAACCGTAGCATGGAAGAAAACTCACGGCATTAAAGCATATACAAAGCCTCAAGTTAGGCCTAACGTTGCCTCAGGCCTTGTGAAATATGAAGCAACGTAGGAAAAGCTTGTCTAAATATCTGATAAAACAAAGAACCCAATATAAATAGGTAAAAGAGGATATTCAAATGGCTAATAAATATACAGAATAAGCCTAATATATCACCAGTTATTAAAAACAGCAAATTCAAATCCACTTCCTCTGAGTTGATTCCGACTCATAGCAACTTTACAAGACAAAGCAGATCTGTGGGAGTAAAAAGCTTCATCTTTCTCCTACAATATAGTACAGCTCTATGGAAAACAGTTTGGCAGTTCCTCAGAAGGTTGAAATAGAACTATCACATTAGTACTCAACAATCTCAGTACTATGTATATAGACAAACGAAAAGGAAAAAAACCCTTGTACACCAATGTGTACTGTAGCAGTTTTTACAATAGTCCAAACCTACCTTGAAGATCACAGCCCAACTCATCACTACTGTCACTGGCCTTGAAAACATTAAAAACAATGCACGGCAACAATTTTATTCTGACTCAGAGACCTGATGAGGCTTCTCAGATTGTAGAACTTGACAGGTGTAGACCACCTCATCTTTTTCTGCGGAGCAACTGATAGGCTTGAACAACTGACCTTGAACTTAGCTGCCAGCATCTAACTTAGGGCTACTTGGTTAATTCTCAGTCACAAAAGGACATATATCACATGGCCTAACTTGTATAAACTGTTCAATTAGCAAATGTGTTGCTGTGTGTATTTGCATCAGACATAAAAAAATCGAATAGTACACTGGGTGTGAACATATAAATCAATTTAAAAAGGGGGAGAGGATAGATTTCTAATTTTTAATCCATCTTAAAAGTTCACAATCCTAAGGCTGCATGGAATAATGATCCTAATACCTACAATGACACACATAATAAAACACTAAACAGATTTTTTTCAAAAACCAACCCGCAGACGAAATTTAAAACTTTCCGAGTGCATTTTCTCTGGTAGTCTTTTTTTTTATTATTTAAATTTGGTTGTGCTTATTGTTGCAAAATTGTATTATGTTATCGTATTTATTAGAATTATCCTTTTCTCATGTGCTCCCCGCCTCCAACATGGATTTTTATTCAAAGACTATAAACAAATAGCCACCAACTACAGTAATTAAAAAATACCCAACTATCATTAGTCATTAGGGAAATGCAAATCACTATCAAAATAAAAAAGCATTCCAATGCTGATCTGCCTGGTAAGTGCTGTAATGCTAACCATAAAGCTGGTGCTCCTTGGAAGCGCAGGTTATAGGTTCCAGTAAAGATTTACACCTTGGGAATGCCATACAGGGTTGCTAGGAAACACCACTGACTACACAGCAGTGGGTTTTGTTTTTCTAGATTTTGTGATAATTATTTTTTAAAATGCAAAATAATGGTGTTGGCAAAGATGGATAGGAACTCAGAACTTAATGGATTGTTTTTAGGGCTGAAATATGATACAGCTGATATGGAAAACTAAGTTTCTCAGAAAGTTAATAAATGACTCACAAGATCTCATATACTTCTTAGTATCTTTAAATAATTTTGTTAACAAATTGGTTATTTTTGTAAATTAAGTGGGGATTACATTCCAGATCATCAACTTTGTATTCAACAGTTTTTCTCACTAAAATTTTTTTAATTAATCATTTTATTGGGGGGCTCTTACAAATTTTTTAACAATCTATCATTCAACTATATTAAGCACAATTGGACATCTGTTGCCATCATTTCCAAAACATTTTTTCTATTAGAGCCCTTGGTATCAGCTCCTCTTTTTCCCCCTCCCTCCCCCATCTTAGTGAATCCTTGACCAATTATATATTATTTCTATCTTACATTGTCCGTTGTCTCCCTTCACCCACATTTGCTATTCATTCCCCTTGGGGGTGGGGGGCTATATAACCAACTTTAAGATGGGTTCCCTTTCTCACCCACCCCCCACCATCCCCTTACCCTCATGATATTGCTACTCCCACTTGTTTCTGAGGGTTTATCTGTCCGGAATTCCATGTGTCACGAGTTCTTATCTGTACCAATGTGTGTACTCTGGTCTAGCTAGATTTGTACGGTAGAACTGGGTCATGGTAGTATGTGTGTGAAGCATTCAGAAATTAGAGGAAAGAAGTGTTTCCTTGGTGCTATACTGTACACTGGTTGAATTGTCCCTTTCTTGTAACCCTTTGGTGGGGGGATGCCCAATGTCCACAGATGGATGGGCTTTAGGTCTCCACTCCAACCCACCTCTTTGAATCAATGTAATTATGTTTTGGATCTTTTGATACCTGATCCTGTTGACACCTCATGATCACACAGGTTGATGTGTTTCTTCCATGTGGGCTTATTTGCTTCCCTGCTAGATGGCTGCTTGTTTAAACTTCAAGCCTTTTAAGATCCCAGATGCTGTATCTTTTGCTAGCCGGGTACCACCTGCAGTCTTCAACACATTTGCTTATGCATCCATTTTGCCTTCAATGATCGTATTGGGAAGGTGAATATCAAAAGAATGCAAAGTTATTAGAACAAAGTGTTCTTGTGTTTAAGGAGGCCTTGAGAAGAGGCCCAAAGTCCATCTGCTATCTTAATACTTAACATGTGTTCAATGACTTCTATCCCTATCGTTATAAGTTAACATATTTACATGCCTATAGCTATACCACTATAAATAGCTTTTGCCTCCTAGTTCTTGTTTTTTTGGTAAATTAAGTGGGGATTTACATTTTACTGTGTAATACAGTAACCGAACCTCCCAATATTTGGTATTTGAGTGTTCTTCTTACTCTTGTAGACCACTAATGGCCAAAGCTGGTCAACTGTCAACCATCTAGTTTATTGCTCTGTTTTCCCTTCCGTCCCCTCTACATTTGGCAAGCTCCATTGGTATTAAAGTCTTTGTTTTGTTGTCCCCCTGCCTCCTTTTATAACAGTGGTCTCAGATAATAACTGTCCTCTTGTGACTTGCTAATTTTATTCAGTTCTCCAGGTCCATGCATGTCATGAGGTACTTCCGGGTCCCAGTATAGTTTTTTACTGATGCATAGTATTGCACTGTGTGTATGTATAATACATGTTTTACAAATATATTTTGAATGTTCTAATAAGCAATCCAGTATACCCTCCTGATTATTCCAATTCATTTTAATCAATGTGGTACACAAATAAGCAAGCAGGGAATCAACATACCTTTCCTCATACAGTGTTTTTGTGATACCTCCTCCAGGGATACGAACACAAAAGTCAGAATCCTCAATTCCAGGAATGCACTGGCTTTTTTCCATTTCCTCCCAGTTAAGCTTCTTTATTTTGTTCTGAACACTTTTTTGCAGGGCAGGTGTAAGTAGGTAGCGAAAAGGAGTACTGGAAACAATCACATAATTTAAAAAAATTCATAAATAACATATATATCTATTCTTTTAGCTAAAATTTTCTTGATGTGAGGATGTTCTACATTAAAAAAGCAATGAGTGTGATCTGTCACATAAATAAAACGAGGGAAAATAACTATAGGATCATATCAATCGATGTAGAAAAGGCACTTTACTAAATCCAACACTCATTACTGAGGAAAATTCTCAACAAAAACAGGAACAGATGTGGAATTCTTCAACACAAAAAAGGACATTTACACAAAAACAAGAGTCAATATTATCTCAAAGAGGTATACTGAAAGTATTCCCCTTGCAATCAGAAACTAAGATACACATTGTCACCACCTCTATTCAACACTGTGCTGGAAGTCTTAGCTAATATATAAGGCAGCAAATGCAAATTAGTGATATCCAAATTGGCAGCGAAGAAGTAAAATTCTATTTCCAGAACTCTTGTGGCACATTGGGCTGATAACCAAAAGGTCAGCAGTTCAAAACGATCAGATGCGCCACAAGAGAAAGATGAGGCTATCAACTTCTTTTTTTAAATCATTTTATTGGGGGCTCATACAACTCTTATCATAATCCATCCATCCATCCATTGTGTAAAGCACATTTGTACATTCGTTGCCCTCATCAGAGGCTTTCAATGTCTATACAGGTTTATAGTCTTGAAAACCCATAGGGGCAATTCTACCAAATCCTAGGGTGGCTATGAGTCAAAACTGACTCTATGGCAGTGAATTTTTGGTTTATACATAAAATATTCCAAATACTTGGCAAGAAAAGTGTTGGAACTAATTGAAAGATTCGTAAATTGGCAGAGTATAAGATCAAGATGCAAAATTTATTTGGATTCCTTTATACTAACAAAATGGAAATGTAAATTGGGAAATGCGTATTATTTAAAATAAGCTCTCCTAAGATGAAATGCATAGAAAAACCTCTAACCTGAAAAACAAAAGATCTGTACTAAGAGAACTATTAAAACACTACTATTAAGAAAAAAGAAACCCACTTAAATGAAATATACCATGCTCATAGATAAGACTAAACATTATGAAAATGCCAATACTACCCAAAGCAATCTACAGATATAATGCAATTCTGAATCAGATTCCAACATCATTTATAAAGATCAACCCCTATAAGAAAAATATGGAATGAAAAGGTGCCCCAGTCAAGCAAAGCACTACTAAAGAACAACAAAGCAGGTCTCTCACATCCTGATGTAAAGATCAATTCATCATATAGCCATGATAGTCAAGACAGCCTGGTACTGCCCAACAATAGATATACATAGACAAATGGAACAGAACTGAGAGTCCTTAAGTAAATCCATCCACTTACAGTTAACTGGTCTGGAACTGAACTCACTTCTGTCTTATGATAAACAATCACTTAATATCAGAAGGCTAGCATTTAACTAAGGAAAAAGTTAAAAGGTGGAATGGAAATGGTCACAAAGGGAAGATGTGGGACACCTGATGGTGCATTAATAAGTTGCAATAGATTAGTTGAAGCAAAGTATGCATATACTGAATATAAAACTGATTATCTGCGCTATAATCCTCTACCTAATGTGTAATAAAAAGTTACAGAAAAAAATAAGATTTCATTTTGACATGCCAGGGATTTTCACTTGGAGGAAATGGGGTTTCTTTAACAAATGGATGCATGTAATTATATATGTAGAAATACTGAAATTATCGATTGCTTTTTCAAAAATAATCAACCAATAAATCTTGGGTAGCTTTCCAACTGGGCCCCTTTCACTTCCTTCTCTTAATCAGAACTCTGCAACATGTTCATGTTTATCGTAAAGTGTTATACCAAACAGCAAACCAAGTTCCCAGGCATCCCCATCCTTACTTTTAAGTCTCTCCTATGTCCTAACTTGTACCAAACTCTCACAGTAACTAATACTATCCCTCTGGTTTTCCTCCCCTTTATCTTTGGATGTTCCTTTAACTCAGTGGTTCACAACCTTCCTAATGCTGCGACCCTTTAATACAGTTCCTCGTGTTTGGTAACCCGCCCTCAACCATAAAATTTTCATTGCTATTTCATAACTGTAATTTTGCTACTGTTATGAATCAAGCGACCCCTGTGAAAGGGTCATTTGACCCCTCTGAAAGGGTCGCTAGGCCCTCAAAGGGGTCATGACCCACAGGTTCAGAACTGCTATTTCAACTGCTTCTTTTTAAATTCCAGTGAGGAGAGGAAGTCATAAAACATGGCTTAAAAACAAACGAAAATTTTAAATAGTGAAATTATAATACTGTACAGACTATAAGAAAACCTTTATTTTCCACAAGAACATACCTGCGAAGCTGTGAATCATTACGGTGACATGAATGACTGCTTGAAAGGACAATAACTCTGGCACAGTTACTACTTTTCACCCAGGACAGCAGTTCTTCACAGAATGGCTTGGATTTATACTTTATATACCAAAGAGGAGAATAAAATCAAAAGTTAGACCTTAAGCTGTAATAAGAATATTCTGCATATTTTAGCAACTTTATGTCATGATTGTCAAATTACATATTTTTATATATAGTAGTCTCTGGGATAAAAACATCTGACTTATTTGCTCTTGAATGTTATATAAATATTTGCCCTTGAATGTTATGGACAATATTTGCCCTTGAATGTTATATAAATGTGTCTCTAAATTGAAAAAAACAACACTGAACTAATTCCTATTTATAACAAATTCATTAGCACAGTCACCTTCACTTACTACATGTGCATGCAGTTTTTAAGTCACTGAAAAGACTCTGAGATACGTAATTCTTGCACTAAAAACTAAACTGAAACCGAACCCACTGCTCGAGAGTAGATTCCGAAACTCTAACTCTTTAGGAGTGTAAAGTCTCATCTGTCTCCTGAGGAGTGGCTGACGGTTTCAAACTGCAGACCTTACAGTTAACAGCCCAAAGCGTAACCGCTACACCACCAAGGCTCCCAGCTCTTGCACTGAAGTAAGACTTAATAAGAACTAAAGCATCCATTCTCAATAACCTACAAATTCTTACATTGTTAGGAACTGATCTCATTTATTAAAGAAGGGTCCACTTGTAGTAAAATCATCTTATTTACTATTTTCAAATCAATTTATTATCTTTAAACTGAAGGTAAAAGGTCCAAATATCAAGTAATTTTTTTTTGCATTTTAAAAAAACATTTTACTAGGGGTTCATACAACTATTATCGCAATCCATACACACATCAATTGTGTAAAGCGCATTTGTACATCATTCTCAAAACATTTTCTCTCCACTTAAACCCCCAACTTTAGGTCCTCA